GATTCTTTCTCCATTTTCAGTATCTTTTCTTATGGAAGAAGAAAATTAGAGGGCTGGGGATTTAGCTCAGTGGTTTCACTGCTGGCCTTACAAGCACAAGGACCCGAGTTTGAGTCCCAGTACCAAAAAAAAAGAGAATTCGAAGGCAAGAGTGGGTTTCGCTTCTCCAAGAGGGTCGTGTAGAGGCAAACGCATTTAATTTCTAAAGGTAAATTGCTGTTCTTCATGTGGTAGCAGTAGGCAAAGAGATGTGCTTTGGAACTGCCAGTCCCCATAGCACCTACTCTGTCACTCATGGGTACTGGCTCTTGCAGTGTGAGGAACCTGCCCCAAGTAACACAAAAGCAGGACCCTATTCTCAAGGCAGGCCTCTTTTAGATATACCTCATGATTTCAGGAGACTAAGGCATTTTTCTCAGCCTAATTCCTCTGTGCCAAGACTTTAAATATTACTCATCCCCTGAGGCTTTTCAGACCACGGTCCACAACTACTCTGCAGCCTCATGCAGCCCTGTCAGGTCAAGAGGCTCTTGCTTCAACTCAATTACTACCATTCATCCCGAGTTATATATAGGTTTTGTTTATTTAAAAACAGAAGCACTCTCAAAGCTCCTAGTCTCTGATTTAACATTTTTCTGAGTAGCATCCTTCTCAATAACTGGCTGTCCTTCATCCTGGAGACATGAAGAATTACTGGCCATCTGGGTGTTGTTCTGAGAGAGTAGGGATTGCAGCCAGTAGAAGCCAAGCTTTCTATATGTATCAAGAATTGAGGTGAAAGCTCTATAAAAATGATCTTAGGCCTCCGAATCATTTAAGCATGTATTCTAAAGTAGCTTTCCCTTTATATATATATTTTTTCTAGCCCTTGTCTTTGCTTTATCACTAGGATGTAAGGTCCTCCAGAGGAGTTATTTTGTCTTACATCTCACATCCTACAATCAGTTTACTTCTGAAACTCTGGATGAATGAATAAATCATCCTTTGAGCTAGATACTGTTAAGATGGATATTTAATGATTGAACCTTAAAGAATGACCCAGAATTTAAAGCCTAATAATATTGTTGACTCACTAGACAATGCTGCTGAGTACTCATGAGCCAAATTAGGATAAAGTCTTCTGTATTTACCTCAAGAAACTTCTATAACAAACCTATCAGACAGATTCTTCCATTGGTGCCATTTCAGAGATGAACATTCTTTGTTTTAAAGGGAATAAAGTGCTTTCCTATAGTTATTTGGGAACACAGATCCAACTAGATCTATGTATGGAAACAAATGTTCTTAACCACTTGGCAGTACTGTCTTCTCTGCAAATGTATTAACTTTCTCAATACAAATCTTCTGTTTATAATTATTACAAATATATTTTATAATCTCTTATTCTCCTAATGATCATAATTTATAAACTCCAGAGGCACAACAGAAGGGAAAAAGTGAACAAACTGGATAGAAGAGGGAAAGAGCAAATGATGAAAAATTTATTGGTTTAATCCAACAAGTAGGTACTGAATATGTCCAGAGAAGCCCTACAAGATAAGAGGACTAGGACAGACAGTAAGATAGTAATGAAAGCTTTGCTGCATAATCTTTGCATTCCACCTTAGTTGGGAAGCCATTTTTCCCAAGATGCTTTGGAAATGCCACTGAAGCAATCACATTGAAGTGGACACTGTACTTCCTCATTAGCCAGTTAAGCACACATTTTTATATCAGCTTTGTGTTTGTCACTTTCAACAGTCTGATGCAAAAGCAAACCTACTGATTTGTCAACCTAGTCACATATCTGTTTTTCTTGAAGTTCTCAGGTAATATGAATTTTACAGGAACTAATTCTTTCTCTTCTTTACAGTATTAGTGATCAAGGTAGAATCATCAGATTTTAAGTAAATTTCAATGGGCAGAGTAGGAGTAAGGAATAAGAATGAAGACTGACAAATCACAGAAGCATTCTTTTGTACAAATTTAATTTTCCTATCAGAGATTAATTGTTCATGCAAGTTTAAGAGTTAATGATTGCCTAGATATTAAACATATTACATATATGTTAAATTAGGGCATAGATTTTAAATAAAAACAGCAGAGAAACCTATTTAAATGAACTATATATTCCAAACTGTTTACATGTTTTTTTCTCAAAAGAATGGCACAATTTATTAATTGCTGATTTCTTAATTGCTGTTGTGTGCTGCTTTTACCCACAATATTTACTAAAGTAAATCCAAATTGCAGTGAATATCAGTGCAATTTTCACTCCAAAAATGGTAAAATACCTTAAAAAAAGAATCAAATTAAGATTAATTTTAAATAAAAAAGGTGGCAGGGGATTTTAATTAGAAAACTATATTTATAACACCCTAGTCATTTTGCATTTTCTTTCCCTTACTGAATTATACTGGTTTTCATTGAAAATGGAGAAATTATTAAAAATCAGCACAAGTCATCTTCAAGTAGGTTTTGTACTAACTCTTCACAATGAATGAAATCATTATGTGCGACAAATATATATTAAGAAAAACCAAAAATTTAAAATAATTTAAAAGTTTTAATGAAGGATCCCCAGGTTCCCCAATTTGAATTATGTTCAATAACAGAGGCAAAAAAAAACTATACTACAAATTCGTACTAGAGATACTTACTCAGAATCTCTAAATCTGATGACTCTGATTTCAAGGAGTTCAAAAACCTATTCATGCTTAGTGTTTAGGATAACAGCCAAACTGCCTTGGACCTCATTTTACTACAACTTTTATAGAACGACCTTATGCAATTTACTTAATCGTCCTCTTTCTGTTTCCTCATCAGTAAAATGGTCTTAAAAGAACCTAACTAATGAGATTAGAGAAAATAATTTAGCAAAAGTCAAGATTTAAATCTGAGTTTGGCACATAGAAAGTAATATGTTATTTAACATTATAAATCCTATCTTACTATGAAAAATTAATCTGATTCCAGAATTTCTCTACCTCATCTTTGAGGAATTCTTGGAGTCATGGTATTATAAAGACCTAAATTAGACAGAAATTAACAGGCAGTCAGACAGGGCTAGGGCCTTGAGGGAGGCGATGCAAAAGATGAGAACACATCAAAACTGTGGTGGAGGAGTATCTGAAGAAGACAAGGCCTGGAGATGAAAATTACAATGGCCAGACTTGCATACTTTCCTAAGGGATGAATAGAAATTTGGGATTATATTGTAATTGGTACCACCCAGCCCATTAAGTCCAGATAGACATCAATCACTCAGGAAAGGGACTAGGGCATCTCGACCCATCCCTTCCCCAAAATGCCTTTGTTCTTTCCATGTACCCTTGCTACATGATCCACTCCTCTATTGGATCATTATTAGCTAAGCCACTATACTTGTAAACTTATTGATTGATTAGTTTGACCCACTTCATACTCACCTCACGATTTTGCTCTATAAAACATTCTTAGAGAAATTAGCTCAGTGGCAACCCAATTTTGGGTTTCCTCTTATCTCTTAGGAACTATCTCTCAATAAATCTTTCCTAATCTTAACCTCTGTTGTTCCTTATAATTCATTCTTCGATTTCAGAGGACCCAAACTTGGTGGGACTAACATCTAGTATTTTGGAGTTACATTTTCTCCTATATCAATAGCTTCCTTCTCAGTAAAATGAAATTGAAGGAGTGCTCTAAGAATATTAAAGTAAAACCACCTTAACAAGGGTGTCTTTGTCTTCCAGTGCTATTTCCTGTTGACTGGAAGAGTGATGAGAAGAGCAGGACTCTAAGACTCACACACATTATTTAATTTACTAACTCCTGGCCCTTAAGTGGCCGTCACTGATTACTTCAGTTCACAGGAGTCCATTTCAGCACAAAGGAGTTCTGTAGTCACTGAACATCTTACAACTGCATAAGGATAATACTTCCATGCATCCTATTTTGCCTGCCTATAGGGCGACTGAGGCTTAGAGGAGCGATGGAAACTGGCCAAGACCTCCTGCCCAAACTGGTGAAGGTGTTGCTAGGATGGAGAGTGACTCAAAGCTGACCCACTTCTGCCATTTCCATCAGCCTTGATCATTAGGGCTGACAGGTGCCATAATCTGTTTCTGCATATTCTCCAGGTCTTTCCCCTTCACTACAGTTTACTAATGCATCCACCACAAATGACCTTAAATGTAAAATAACACAAATTTTCTCTCCTACCCACATACAATTCCTATATATAGTTTTCCCACTTAATTTTCCTTCCTCTACACAAATCTAATTCTAATATAGAAAAATGGTTATTTAGTTATCATTTTCCTTACATCAACAATAACATTTAAAATTCTTTACTATTAAAAAAAATAAATATTTTCCTAGAGCAATGATCAAACATTTAGAGTATTTTATATCACAAAGATCATTAGAAGGAAACCTTTAAATTGATACCAAGGAGAAAGTCTATGAAGAATGTGATAAAATGGATATTAATTTGAGGGGAAAAGATGTTAAATGTGAATCAACTTGTAACCAAATAAATCAGAAGAAACTGGATACCAAAATTCTCTAAGGTGAATTTCCCTTTTCCGCACAGCCAAAATGTCTTTTACATAGAGGCCATCCTCTCAAAGTGATGATTTTACTGAGCCAGTAGAGTCTAAAT